TCTGAAGGGGGCAGGAACGAGGTCAACCTGGAAGTTGTCGATCAGCAGGCTATGGTTCAGCCTCTTGTTGTACATCTCTGCTAGGTGAGTCGTTTGCATCACCTCCGCGTCCTCAGTCAGAGCGAAATGTTGAATGATCGCAGCCGCTTCTTGCTTATCATTCTCGAGTAACTGGCCTTTGCTGTCCGTCAGTTGAACGCTTCTGTTGGTCCTTCCTGGTCGGCCACCGTAACGAAGTAGTACCTTCAAGAGACGCCATTCATGGTGAGAGTCCCCGCGCTTGGCGCTTGGCACGCTCCTCCATCTCTGCACCAATACGCTCAAGATGTTGCGCTCGGCCCTGGCGAATGGCAGCCTTCACAAGCTTGCCCGTTTTGTACAGAAAATCTCGCATAGAGCCAACGAACTCTGCATCCGTCACCCTTGGGTCATGTTTCTTGGTGCAGCAGAGCAAACGCAGACAGCGAACCTCCAGTGCCCATGGCTTGTCATCAGCTGGATGAAATAGTGGGTCGTCAAGATGAGTAAGTAACAATGCCCATGGTGCTGTAGTGGTGCTGTTGCTTGGTGTTCTTGTGGCCTTAGCCGCATATCGACGTAGTCGTGCCAATTCCATCGCCGAGGTCGTAATATATGGCTGGATCGGCGTAAGCCGTCCCGCTCCGTAGCAAGTAGTAGCCACCTCGCGTACCATTGTATCCGTCAGCTGCTGATGGTCGTTTACGTCCATCTCCCATGGCGGTAACGATCGTGATGATAATTCCGCTTCGAATCTGCCTCTACATTCATTGTCATGGAGCTTGGCTTGGTTTAATCGAAGTCGTGCTTGACCCTTCTCAGTCTCGCGAATGATCGTGTGCTTGAACGTCGCCATCACGGGTATATGGTCAATGGTGTCCGTGTAAGTGTCTATGGAGTAGTCAATCTGGCATGGTGTACAGTACCCATGGAAAACATCGTTGGGAGCCACATGGTCGTTTTTATGCAGTGTGCCGACGCTGCTGACATACGTATGTCCTGAAGCTTCTTCGTAGAAAGTCGATTCCGCATACAACTTGTGGTCAAGTATAGCCTGTCGCATAAGATGCCCTGGAAGATCGTCTTCATCTTGCGTACACTCTTCTTTGAGGAAACCACCAATACCTTCGTGACTGCCCTGTCGTAGTGTAGTACGAGGTCGCTGGCCAAGGTGTGCATTGAGGTCGCCCAGAATCATAGTGGGAGGCCATTTCATCAGAAACTCGTCAAACTGGCTCCACCATTTCTTGTAGTCCAATGTAGGGTGCCCCAGGTTGACTGCGTGGGCAATGTGCACCATCTCATGCTCGCCAAAGACTCGTACCTTGCAAATAAGGAGGCGCTCGCTAGAATGTAATACTCGGACGTCAGACTTCTTGAAATATCTTGGCCCAGCAGGTCCCGACCCATAGGGCTTCACCGTGTCAAGTAGCAGCGCACATCCAAGCTTCCGCTTCCCGCCTGTCCCGATGGTCAGGTATCCGTCAAGTACCGCAGCATCTGCTGGTGCAGGTGCTTTTTGGCAGCCTACGATATGTAACCCTTGCTCACGAAACTGGCAACGAAGAAGTTGGGCCCGCATCGGTTGTACTGGGTCTCCTGTGTCACCCATTGCCCCCGTTCGCTCGCCTGGACCTCTGGCGCCTCCCCTCCTCCCCTCGGTTGCAGCGGGACTGCCACGGACCTCTGGGCCCCCCGCCTCTTTGGCGCGGACTCCACGCCTGGTGGGGTGTGCGCTCGCCGTGGCTCTTCTGGGCCTGGAGTTGGTCCTGCGTCCTCCTCCTCCTCCTCCTCCTCCTCCTCCTCCTCCCTCCTCCTCCCTCCTCCTCCTCTTCTCATCCTCCTCTTCTCCTTCTCCTCCTCCTCCTCCTCCCTGCGTCCTACTTGGGGCCCAGGCTCCCCCAGCTCGGGGGCGCCCGCCGCCCCGATCGTGGCCGGACGGCGGGGGGCCCGGCCCGGCCGTCCGCACCGTGGCGACCCCCCAGCGATGGCAGCGACGGCGACGACGACCACCGTGACCCGGACATCGACCGCGACCTATCGCTATCGCTATCGCTATCGGCTCGATGTCCAGTTGGACGCAGCCGTCCGCGCGGCCGAAGCTACGCGCGCGCGCCCGAGGCGCGTGGGGGGGGGTCACCCCCCGACACATGCTCCCGCCAGAGGGGCGGGGGCCGAAAAGGACCGAGAAAACGGGCCCAGGAGTTTCGGGGATCATTACGAGGAAGGAGGAAGAGGGGGCTCATTAAAGGCCTGAAGAGGAAGGGAAAAAAACCCCGTGACGGCCTGCGCGCAGGCGGCGGCCCGCCGGCGGCGGCTCGGTTCGGTCAGGCCTGAACCGAGTCCTCCCCCCCCTCGCCCTCGAGGGGGCGTCCAGGATGGGGCTGGCGGCCTCCGTGAGCACTGCGGCCGTCTTGCCGTGGTGGGCGCCTGTCTCGATCGTCTTGGGCCATGTTACGGCCAGATCGGGTCGTCGGATCAGCGGCTGCTGTCCGACCAAGCTGGGGCAGACTGCCCAAAATGGAGGTGACGAAGTCGTCGAGGGGATTACCGTGGTCCTGGGAGAGGCCGAAGTAGATGGCGTAGAGGCTGCTGGCGTCGTCTATGATGGTCGGTCGTCTCGTAGCAAGGTTCTCCGTAGCGTAGAGCATCATCTCAGTATTCCACATCACTGACGGACCTGCTGGGGCTGAGGATTGCGCTAGTAGTGCTGGTACTTCGGCGACGTGAGCCGCGTGGAAGGTGTGGATGGCGAGGCGGGCGTGGTGGTTCGCAATCAATCGGCGTTCGGCTGCCTCACCTCCAAGGTTTACTCTGCCCCAGGGGTCCGTGGTCGTTCTGGAAGATGCTGCCGTTCTGTCGGGCGGGTAGCCATCGACTTGGTCGATCCACGTGCTGGGTGAGAGGTTGATCATCACTCCAGCAAAGTCGCCTTGTCGTATGTGCTGGTGGAGCGAGTCGAGGGCGTCGTACTGAGATGGGTGGTCGACAGAGTAGAGGTCATCGAAGGTCAGAGTAACCCGTTCCATCACCATTCCATTGTAGCATAGTCGTTGGTCCGTAGTGTCGAGCAGATCGTTCGGGTGTCTGTCAATGTTGGTGAGGTAAAGCAGAGATCTGTTTCTGGTCGGTGTCCGAGGGTAGTAGGCTGGTGGTGGTGGTGTAATCGCTGGTACCGTCGGGAAGAATGGCGGTGGTGATGGTGAAAGGTCAAGGGAGGGCAAGGGAGTGACGTCGGATGCGTGGGCAGGGATAGGGTGGTATAGTTCGGGGCGGCCTCTGCGTTTGTTGTCGGCTATGCTGGCTGCGTAGGTCGCCTGATTGGTGGCCACGTCCTCTTCCGTGAGGGCAGGCCCTTGTAAATACCACAGGTGCCAAGACCGTCGGCAGCGGGCGACCGTCGTTAGATGCTTCACGAGCTTGGCGAAGGAGTGGAAGTTCTTGCGGCATATTCTGCACGATGTACCCGATGCCCAGTTTCGCGGATGCTCAGGTCGTCGGTGTTCACGTCCGATATGTATTGCCATGCCCTGCTTGGTCTTGGTAACGATTCCACACTCGTAGCAGATGAAGTTGCTGGCGCCGTTGTCGCGTGATGGCGTGGGGTCCGCACCAATGGGACCGTCGGGTCTGAGCACCTTGGTCAGCTTGTCGGCGTGGGCGCGGTCTTTGGATGCGCGTATGTAGTTTGTGACAGCCAGGTTGACGGAGTTGCTGAAGTGCTTCGGCGTGGCGCGTGCCCATGCAAAAACGTCGGAGTCGAGCTTGCTGGTCGTGGGCCAGCGCTGGTCGTCCAGGTATGTGCGCAGGAAGTCGAAGTCCTGGAAAAGCATGTATGTCCATGAGCCCTTTCTCCGTCGCTGGTTGTCAAGCAGTTGGAGGAGCTGCTGAGGAGCGTATCGTAGAAGCCGTGGTAAGTATCGCAGCCTTCCAGCAGACTGGTGGTGGTCGAAGTCGGGGATGCCAGTGTAGGCTACTACTTCGGTGGCCGTGAAATGATGAAGCTGCGAGTTAGCTTTGGGTATTCCAGCTGCCGTGCGATAGGGCTTCGAGTAGGCATTGGAGATGCGCTGGTGGTCAGTCTGGGTCAGTGCTGGCCAGACGTGGTGGTTGAAGGTTAATGAGGCAGTCGAGAGGGCGTGCACGTACTTGATCTTTGTTTTGCGGGGTAGGCGTCGACGTCGTAGGATTTGCCTCTCAAGAGCTCGTGCCGAAGCGTCGGTTCGTCGCATGCGATTCTGCACCTCGGGGCCCATGCTGCCGCTGGTGAGGATGGTGCCTAAGAGTCGGTGCTGGTCTGTGATCTGGACCGAGATCGACATGATGCTCAGCTGGATTGATGTAATGTTCTGCTGTGCAAGCCTACTGCGTGCGACGTTGGATCCCGTCCCGTTAAAGGAGAGGATGACCTTGGTCTTGTCTGGGTGTGGCTTGAGCCCGTAGGTGAATGCTGTACGGCTCATATTTTTTTTTTTTTTTTTTTTTTTTTTTTTTTTTTTTTTTTTATTTTTTTTTTTTTTTTTTTTTTTTTTTTTTTTTTTTTTTTTTTTTTTTTTTTTTTTTTTTTTTTTTTTTTTTTTTTTTTTTTTGTTTTTTTTTTTTTTTTTTTTTTTTTTTTTTTTTTTTTTTTTTTTTTTTTCTTTTTTTTTTTTTTTTTCTTTTTTTTTTTTTTTTTTCGAATGATTGCTGTATGCTCAAGTGTGTTGAATGTTCTCGAATGTCAATGATGTCGGAGTGGCGGGTGGGCGGAGTGGCGGGTGGCGAGTTGAAGTCGGTGAGGTCATCGACCGAAGGACATGTTGGTAGCTTGCCGCCGTGATGAGGAAGACCGTTAGAGAAGAGCGGGTTGTCGCAGGGGCGGAATGTGGTACGGCCGACTTTTTCTCTTTTTTTTTTTCTTTTTTTTTTATTTTTTTTCTTTTTTTTTTTTTTTTCTCGCCGTCTTCTGCTCCGTCGGTGTCGTCGGCGATGGCCTGAAGCACTAGGGAGAAGTGCATGTTGAAAGCCGCGTCGGAGTATGGCACCCCTGGCCTGGTACTAGTGCGAGGGATCACGTATGCGTCGGTGCCCTTAGCGGTCATCCAGTGGGCCGTGTGGTGGTCGGCAACGAGGGCGCAGAGGTGAGAGTCGTCGACGTGGGCGTTGAGATGTGCTGGACAGCGAAGGCGTTGTCGTAGAGAGGGAAGAAGGCAGATGGGAATCTCGATGTTGTCGATGACGTCTTCGAGCTCGTCCTCCTGAGTCGGCAGCTGGAAAATGAACTCCCTGATTACCGAATGGAAGGCTTCTTTCAAGTCCAGGAAGAGGATGCTGCCCGTGCGAGCCTGCGTACGGCAGTCGTCTTAGAAGGTGTAGGCGGTGTGAGTGATGAAGTCAGTCGCCTTGTGAGGGACGGCGCCGCATTGTGTGTCCATCAGCAGGTCGGGTAAGATGTCGCGGAAGAGGCCTCTCAGGAATTTGCTGTTGATCTTGCCAATAGTGTTGTTCAGGAGGATGCCCCTGTAGGCTTTCTGCAGATGAAGCTGTCCTTGTCCTTTGGAGAAATGGGTGGAGAAGCCGCCCTTCGCCGAAATGGGCTCCGTCGTCATCAGCTGCATCTTCATCATGATGGGGTGCAGAAGTCGGGCCATCTGGCGCGGCGCTGCTCGTGCCATGTCGTCGGCGTTCCCGTCGGGCCCGCCGCGTCTGCCTTTCTTGGCGGCTGCCAGGGCGGATGTCAGGTTGTGGATGGTCTGGACGTTGTCGATGTGGGGGATCGGCTTAGTGTGCGCAGTCTTGTTGTTGTAGTACTTGACGACGCCTTCGATGTCGGTGTTGATGCCGTTCTCGATGTTGCCGTAGTATCGAAGGGCGTGCTCCGCGATGGCTTGTGGCGTCGTGAGTGGAGCGCCGTCATCGTCTCGGCGTATTTTGGGAGTCGGAGTTTGCTTTCTTTTTTTTTTTTTTTTTTTTTTTTTTTTTTTTTTTTTTTTTTTTTTGTTTTTTTTTTCTTTTTTTTTTTTTTTTTTTTTTTTCTTTTTTTTCTTTTTTTTTTTTTTTTTTTTTTTTTTTTTTCTGTTTTTTTTTTTTTTTTTTTTTTTTTTTTTTAGGTTTTTTTTTTTTTTTTTTTTTTTTTTTTTTTTTTTTTTTGTTTTTTTCTTTTTTTTTTTTTTTTTTTTTTTTTTTTTTTTGCTTTTTTTTTTTTCTTTTGGAGTTCTCTTAGGTGCACGGCCGCCGTATGTGAGTAAGGCCCTCACGCTTGCCCATTCCTGCCGAGGGGCATTCCCTGCTGCTGATAATATCATGTTGTCGGAGAAGCGCTCGAGGTGGGCGTCGCGGTCGTGGTCGAGGCGGTTTCTGAGAGCGCGGTCGGTATCTTGGATGAAGCTCATGTATGAGTCGAAAAGATCAGTAGTGAAGGTGGTTGTGCAGGAGGTGCTGTCGTGGTGTGGAGCCGTGGTATGGTCGGGGTCCGCGTGGTTGATGAAGAGGATGGTCTTGATCATCAACTTGGTGTATCCAGGGGTGTCCAGGAGGTGGATGACGTCGTCAGGGGACGCTGAAGCCGACTGGTTTGCGATGAGGTGCGCGGTGTATCGGATCCGTCTGCGTGATTTCTTGGAGCCAATGCCATTCCTTTTCACTATGCGGATCGTCTTGAGGAGGGTGCGTCGGAATCGAAGAAGCGCGTAGGAGGCCTCGGTAATGTAGGGCTTGCGGGGGGCATGATGCTGCTTCTTGAAGCTGGCGTAGGCTGCGTCCTTTATCTGATCGACGATGCTCTTAGTATGGTCGTTGAGGTTGGTCTCCCAGGGAGGGTGTTGGATCTGCTGCAGGCGTCGTTGAAAGTCGTTCTTGGCTGTCTCGGAGTCGAGCTTAGCGATGTCGAACTTGGGCGTGCCGTGTTGGTAGGCGGTCTCGACGGTGTAGGCGAGGTTGGCCTTGACAGGGAAGTGGTCGTTCTTGTGTGAGTGGTCGTCTACTGTGTCGATGCCGTACATTACGGACGTGTAGGAGATGGAGTCGAAGAGCTCGTGGCCAACCACTATGTAGTCCAATCTGTGCACGTCCTTGCCTGAGTCCCAGGTGTAGTGGTCCTGGCCACCGCTTTTGAAGGTATTCGCGGCGATGAGAGAGTTACCTTGCAGGACCTTGTGGAAGCGTTCGCCGTTGTCGTCCTCCTTTTGCTTGAAGCCTTGATCGCCGATTGCCTGGCTGCATAAGCTGCCCGTTCGAGCGTTTGCGTCGATGAAGAAGATGTTGATATTGTGGTTAGAGGTTGCGCACTCGATCATCTCCCAGAAGGTATCCTTCTCGTGTGGCGTGGCTCGTGAATGTGGTGCATGGGCGACGCAGACTGTGTGTCGAAAGCCTGGGGCTTCGATCCTTACTATGAGGTGCCGAGGGCTGTGCTCGGTGACACGACCGCGACCTCCGCGACCTCCTCCACCTCCCTCCCTCTCTCCCTCCCTCCCTCCTCTTCCTCCTCCCTCCCTCCCTCCCTCCCTCCCTCCCTCCTCCTCCTCCTCCTCCTCCTCCTCCATTTCCTCCTCCATCTCCTCCCTCCCCCTCCTCCACCTCCTCCCCCTCCTCCACCTCCTCCCCATCCTCCACCGCCTCCCTCTCTTCCCTCCTCCTCCTCCCTCCTCCTAATCCTTCCTCCTCCATAACTCCATTTCATCCTCAAGACCATCCCCCCCCTACATCAATCACCTCCCTCCATCCCATCCTCATCCATCATCCTCCTCCATCCTCCTCCTTCCTCCTACTCCTCCTACTCCTCATCCTCATCCTCCTCTTTTTCATCCTCATACCAACGGAGGATCATGGCGACCGCCGTCGGCGGCGGCTGTGGCGGCGCTGACCTCTGCCTGCGCCGACGAGGACGAAGGCGACCACGGTCAGCAGTCTCGAAGCATACCCCTGTCCCGAAGATCGACATCCCCCCGAATTATCTCGGTGCCGATCTTGAGGACCCCTCCAAGTTTTTCAGTGCACATCCCTAAGATTGTCATCGCACTGGGCTTCATAACCTCAGGGATAACCTGAGGGACAGCAACAATAGTTACCCCCTAGTGGTGGGACCCCAGTCCTTCAATAACGGCGCCGGAAAATATTTAGTTACCCCCTATGTGGGGGGTCTAAAAACCTTTCAGGATCAGGGATGAGCTCGAAGCTAGCTCGACGACGACGGCGCCCGCGCAGGGCCGTGGACCACAGCGGGCGCCCGCACGAGCGCCACCACCGCATGGCGGCGCGGCCGGCGGCTGCCGCCGTCGCCGCCGAGAATCGAGAGTCGAGTGTCGAGGACCGAGATGTCGAGGGGCGAGAGTCGAGGGTCCAGGATCGAGGTCGAGCGTCGAGGGTCGAGGATCGAGATGTCGGGGGACGAGGGTCGAGGGTCCAGGGTCGAGGATCGAGGATCGAGGCGTCGGGGGACGAGGGTCGGCGGCCTGGAGGACGGCACCAACATCAGTCTCGGCGGTGCGATTCCACCGAGGGAGGCCGATTCCGATCCTGGAGGTGGCCGCTTCGTAGGCGGCCGACGGATGACCACCGGCACTACAGTCGGACCGAGGTATGAGGTCGAGGTCGGCTCGGGGAGGGTGCCCTAATGTTCTTCGTGCTTGTTGGATGTTCTTGTGCGCCCTGGGGATGGTACCCTTGGATGTTCTGCGCGTTCCCGCCGGCGGAGGGTCCACGTTCTTGAGGGACGTTCTTCTGGCCCAGGTCTGACAGTAAGTCGGGCGTATCCCTCTGGACAGGAGGACAGGAAGAAGCCGCGCCCAGACGGCGTATCGGCACAAACTGGATTGGAAACGAGGGCCGGAAAGATGTGCAGGAAATTATGCGGAAGGTACGCGCGCCGGGTCGCATCCACTGTTCATTGACCAGCTCTGGGCGGCGGGTACAACTACACTCGCACATCGCACATTGAACATGCAAAGGTGGGCGTATCCCTCTACAGGGGGAATACTCAGAGATCGTCAAACAAAGTAGTAGTGGGGCAATCTGTCGGCTATAATTGAGTATTGTTTTGAATATTTGTGGGGTAGTCTTTTTTTCATTTCATCCGAAATCCGCCTGTAGGAGGACATGCCCGACCGAACGCCAGCGCCGAATCTGGAATCATGTTCCCCCGGCGGAGACCTGTCTTGGGCACGTCGACCTCCCCTGTGAGCGGCGATGCTGGCCCCGTTGGGCCGCAGGACTCTGACAGGAAGAGGCTTAGGATCGAAGAAGAACTTTCGACGCGCCGCGCGGACTTTTTGGATTTGCGCTGGGGCCCCCCGGTTGCGCGTCCGGCGGCCGCCCCTGGCGCGCTCCGCGCGCCAGGAAGGGGGGCCCAGCGCGAATCCCAGAAATCCGCGCGGACCGTGGAAAAGTTTAGGATTCGGTGGTTCTGTCATTCCTCTACAGGGGGAAGATAGACAGATCCAGGCTCCACAGCAGGGCAGGACCTGAACGGTGTTTTGGCGATTTCGTGGGCCGTTTTCGTTTCGATTTCGTTTTGCGGTAAAGGCGAATCGAGGACAAAACGAGGGAAAACGAAAACAAAACGAAACCGAAAAAATCCGCTGAGGCTCAGCCCTGCTCCACAGCGGCTCAAGATCGAGGACGCTCGCAGGGCGTGCCAGGCCGGGACGCTCCAGGCTGGCCGCGGCGCCCGACGCGTCCTCCAGTCCCGCGTCCATCTCTGCCTCAAAAGTAGTCTTGGGACGATGTTTTGAGTATTTTGGGGTATGTTTTTTTAAAAATTCGTCCAAATCCGTCTGTAGGGGGACATGCCCGACCTAAGCCTTGTGACGTCGTCTTATCTGGGACCGAAGTCCTCCTCCTCCTCCTCTTTTTCTCCTCCTCCTAAGTCGCTATATAAGTCGTTGTGGGTCCCGAAATCGCTTGCGTGGACCCCGCAATCGCTATATGAATATCCCGTTGGTCCCGAAGTCGCTATATAAGTATTCCGTGGGTCCCGTAATCGCTATATAAGTATTGCGTAGACCCCGAAATCGCTATAGAAGTATTGCGTGGACCCCGACCCGCCGCCGCTTCACCCAAATATTCGAGGCGCCTGCTCCCGGACCTCAGAGTTCTTTCCCTGGGACCTGCTCCTTCCCCTCCTCCATCATCCTTCCTCTTCCTGTTCTGGTCTGGTGGGAGGGAGGGAGGGAGGAAGGGAGAGGGAGAAGGGCTCCTCAATCCAAGGGGACAGGGTCGAGAGTCCCGGCCAACGCCACAGCCCGACGACCAGAGCACACCCGAGCGCAAAGTTTCGTTTTGCCGTCCTCCTCGTCCTCCTCGTCCTCCTCCTCCTCCTCTTCCTGCTCCTCCTCCTCCTCGTCCTCGTCCTCCTCCTCGTCCTCCTCGTTCACCTCGTCCTCCTCGTCCTCCTCCTCCTCCTCCTCGCCCAGTTCCTCTTCCTCCTCCTCCTCCTCCTCCTCCTCCTCCTCCCACTCCTCCTCGTCCTCCTCCTCCTCCTCTTCCCGCTCCTTCTCCTCATCACCCTGCTCCTTGTCCTGCTCCTCGTCCTCCTCCTTCCCCTCGTCCTCCTCGTCCTCCTCGTCCTCCTCGTCCTCCTCATACTCCTCGTCCTCCTCGTCCTCCTCGTCCTCCTCTTCCTCCTCCTCTCTCTCCTCTCCTCCTCCTCCTCTCCTCCTTCCTCTCCTCCTCCTTTTCCTCCTACTCCTCCTCCCACTCCTCCTCGTCCTTCTCCCTCCACCTCCCTCTCTCGTCATCCTCTCCTCCTCCTCTCCTCCTCTTTCTCATCCTTCTTCCGCCCTTCTCTCTTCCTCCTCCTCCCTCTCCTCTCCTTCTCCTCCTCCCTCTCCTCGTCCTCGCCCTCCTC